CTTCAAGCAGGCACTTGCTCTTCAATCCGATTTTGATTTTCTGTTCCCTTGGATTCTCTAGGCCCATTCTCAGTATCAGGTGCCTACTAATATCTGAGTGGAGCTGTGTGTTAGGATACCAGTGGTAGAATTTGTAAGTCTTTAAATTGATGATGCTAACTACTTACTTTAATTTTCTGTTCTGTAAAATTTCTAAGAAGTTGAATCTTGTTACAGTGGATTTTTCTAGCCTCATTCAAAACTGGTCATCAGTTTACTGGACCTTGAACTTATTTTATTAACCAGAGATGTTTGTTAGATTTATGATAGTATGATTTGATCTTTGTTGTAGGATATCGTGAAGGGACTAGATTGCCTCCCAGGGTTAGAAGCCCGGGGAAGGTCTCTTCAGCACAAGAGATGGCTTTTAGTCTTGAATGTCTTGGTGTTTGTGGTGACCTGTGCTGACCATGGGGACCATTGTTTCCTGCCATACGGCCTTGTAGATGCTTGGGACCTGCCAGGTGTGGTATCAGGTATCAGGGGGATAATGCTGACCCAGGAAAACCCAATCCTCTCTTTACAGAGCTTGGAGGACTGAGCTATAAGTTCTGGGTCTCACTGCAGTTGCTTACAGAGGCATATGAGGAGACATTAATCAGATATTGTGTGTTTGGAAAGACATTCTTTTTCAGAGGTTAAGTATTAATAGCTCATGTCAGCCATTGTTGAATTGGGCAGCCTCGGTACCAAATTTTAGCTGTGGGAAAAATGTCTAGTTTTTTTTCAGCTTTAATCCTTGTCTTGGATATGATAGGACATTTGGTTTCCAGAGATTGTCACATTATTCTCTTATGCTTCTACAGTTTTTTTCTGCAGTTGGTTACTATAGCATCTTGAGTGACATTAGAGAAATAAGGTCTGTGGTATTTGTGGAGATGCTTTCTCTGTGATCCTCCCTGAACTTTGCACTGGCCTTCGACAGAGATCTCTATTTTTACAGTGTGTGCGTCACTGTTGTTTCCAACTGGTACATGCCTGAATGCAAGTTCACACCCTTCCTGTTTTAGGACTTGGGGAGTTGGCTCAGGTGCTGGATGGACATCGGGATGACACTGAAAGGAGGGGGTTGGGCTGTTCTTTCCTTGTCCTCACACAACATTGTAGTGGAGATAAATACACTTGGTATAATGTTGGCCGTTTCAGGGGTCACCTTTGCTCAGTCTTTCGGCTTCTCACAGCCTTTCCGTAGGCTTGGAGTTTGTTTCGTAGTATGCACACCCCTTCCTCTCAAATGGTCTCTTTCATTCTCATGTCTTTTCATCTCTTTCTCCTTCACTTTTTCAGGGGTGTGGGGTGGGAGTCTCTTGAAACAGGACCTCAGGCTATAGCCCAGTGTAGCCTCAAACACTTGATCCTCTTGCCTCAGCCCCGAACTGGGCTTACAGGCATATGCTACCATGTCTGGCCCTCCTCTAGTTTTCCTCTCCCTCTCCCCCTCTTCCTCTTAAGATGCTTTTTTTTTCCTGTTCATTTGTTAAATATGCATTTACAAGACACCTGCTGTGTGCTTTGTAGTGTTTTGGAATATAAGAGTGAATCAGCCAGCTGGGTGGTGGTGGCCCATGCCTTTAATCCCAGCACTCAGGAAGCAGAGGCAGGCAGATCTGAGTTCGAGGCCAGTCTGGTCTATAGAGCAAGTTCCAGGACGGCCAGGGCTGTTACACAGAGAAACCCTGTTTCAAAAAACCAAAAAAAAAAAAAAAAAAAGAGTGAATCAGATAGACATGGCTCCAGCTTTTTGTAAAGTTTGTAGAAATTTCACTGTTTATAAATGATAATTATGAAATGTTTTGAGAAGCACTCTGTGCTATGAGAGCATGTAATTTGGGGACTGTCTTGAGTTTTAAGTGATTATTGAAATCAATCTTTCCCTCCATTCCCCTCTTCTTCCCTCCTTCTCATGTGTAGAGTTTATATATATAATTTTTGATTTGTCTGTGCATGGGTTTTGCAACTGATGTGGGTGCTGGGAACCCAACTTGGGTCCTCTGCAAGAGCAAGTGCTGTTAACTACTGAGCCATCTCTCCAACTCCCTGATGATTGATTTGGACACCATTTAGTGCATGTTTCTGATTCAGTCAGGGATAGTCAGTGACTGCAGCCCTTCCATTTTACATGCTGGGTTTAGCTTGACTTGGCAATAGACAACAGTCCAAGTTGAAAGTAGGATGGTTGGTGCTGGTGGATGCTGTTGCTTCAGGTTTCCCCATTAGGTTCTGATTTTGCAGAGGTGGTCAAATATTCCTTTATTATTTGAGCTATTGGTGTAGTTCCACAGAATTGGTAAGTTCTATTCAAGCATTTCATTGATCTTTATAGCAACTCTGAGGGGTTAGTGGTAGTATGTTCATTTTACAGACAAAGAAACCTTAAATGAGTACAGCTCACACATAATTGGTGGTAGAATGTAGACCAGAATGAAACTAAGCCTGCTGCATTGAAGTTCCTTTTCTAATAACTTTATCTTCCCTTGAATGAAGAACCTGCTCTGATCATACCATACCTGGAGGCCTTTGTTGTGGCTTTTAGTTTTCAGCAACTGTTTGCCAAAGGATAAGGCAGAGTTAAAGGTTTACAAAATGCATTGCTATCTCAATATGGCTTTGCCTTGGTGTCTTTCGAAGACCTTTACTTAGAATTTAATTTGCTTAGAATTTCCTTAGGGACGATTTGATGAGTAGAGCCTGGGCTGACTGCTAAGTTAGTTACTACCTCCAGCTACAGTAGACTGTATCCAGCCAAACCTCCGTAATTAGACCTGTGGTGTGCCTGACCAGGAAAGGTCAGGCTGAGGTGAGGGATTGTAACCATGCAGGCCTGGACCCCCAGTGGGAAGGAGTCCAAGCAGGAGGCCATCAGGCCCTCTGCCCTTGCTGGTTCTCCTTTGAGGCATGGCATCTGAAAGCCTTTAAAGAATTTTGTCATGTTCTTACAATCACCCAGGAGCTTCAGAGTGGGTGTGCAGACAGAAAAAAAGGCTACTTCTGGAAGTGTTTGTGCAAAGGACCGTTTTTAGAGAGTTCTGTGGAATGGGATTGGGTCTGACATGAATTCTCAGTGTGCTTTCTTTCCCCTGGAGGAATAGCCCATATGTAGAGACAGATGTGAGACCAAAGCCTTTTTGACATATAAATAAAACTGAGAGAGAAGGAGAACATTGCTGTGAGGCGGCAGTTGGAAAAGAACAGCTTGCTGCCAAAGGAAAAACCAGGTTGCTCTGTGTGTGCTGGAAAACCCTTCCCTCAGGTACAACCTAAATATATAAAATGTAAGTGTACAGCTAATCGTTTTAAGAGAGCGTACCTGTGAAGCCATTTCAAAGACAAAAAGTAGAATGACCCAGACCTAGAGGTTCCCAGTGCTTCCCTTGGTCAGGTCTACATCATCTCCGAGGTAGTCTGCTGACTTTATAGTAATAGTTTTCTTGCTTTTGTTTTTATTTTAAACTTTCTTTCCTTTTATTTATTTATATGTGCTGCTTGTATATATGTGTGTGGGCACACATGTGCCATGGGTTACATGTGGAGGTCAGAGGACAACTTGAGAGAGAGTCAGTTCTCTCCTTCTACCATTTGCCTCCTGGGGATTGGACTCAGGTCCTCAGGCTTGGTGGGAAGCACCTCACCTACGGAGCCCTCTTGCACCCTCACTTTAAACATTCTTGAACTTGTCTTATGGTCCAGGTATTTCTGTTAGATATATTTTAGATTGAATTATATGAAATTATTTTTATATGTCAGACTGAATATTAATGATTTCATACACTGATCTTATACTTGGGTATGTTATTATACCTGGGGATATTAAGATGGTTTCCTGTGATTGTAAGGTCAGTTTTGGTAGATCTACCAAATAGTTTCTAAAAAAAATTTGTACCAAACTTTATGGCCAACATTTTTTGTCTTAATTTTTTTTTTTTCTAGACAGGGTTTCTCTGTGTATCCCTGGCTGTCCTGGAACTCAGTCTGTAGTTCAGGCTGTCCTTGAACACAGAGATCCACCTACCTCTGCCTCCTGGGATCAAAGGTGTATACCACCACTGCCTGACTTCTATTTTTTTTTTCATTGTGATTTAATTTTACATTTTCTGCTTACTAGTGAGATTGAACACTTTTCATTTGTTTCATTTAAGAGATTTTTGAAATACCTATTAAAGTAGTTTGCCCATTTCTTGTTGGGTGGTTTCTTTTGTTTTACTGATAGACAGGAGGTCATCATATATATACTATGAACCTTGACTGCTTGTTGTGTGTAATCTGTCTTCTAGTCTACACTGGTTGGCTTACTCTCATAATGGTGATTTTGATGAACAGGCCTTTTCAGTTTTAAGATGGAATGTATTGATATTCACCTGTAGGTTCTAGAGTGTCCATGTTGTGAGCAATTGGACAACTACTGCTAATAGTCTGTACTTTTCCTGCTCTTCACTCCTGCTGCTGTAGTTCCTCAGTTGTGTTGAGCCTGCTGTGGAGACAGTTTACACTTCTGTCCATTCTGTTGACCTCTTGCAGGAGATGCTCATGATCTTGCTGTATTATGAGGTGCAGTTCCACCTCTGGCTTCATGAGGAGAGTTAGACTGGCATCTGCATTAATCGTGCCCTTTAGACCTCTAGAATAAGATAGATGAAGGGGGCAGTAGTGAGCACAAGACTGGTTTTCTAGAGGTAGGCTGTACACTCAAGATGGCTTTATAAGTGTCTGTGGGACCAGAGAGACTTAAAAACATAGACTAGTTGCAGACCATCCACAACTTCCTATGTGCTTGTCTGAACAAGTGCATGCTCTGTCCCCGGGAGCCTCAGTGGTAGCCCATGCTGTTAGCAGAGTGGAAGAAGCATAGGTAGCCTGGGTGTTTATTCCTTTACAGCGCTGTGGGAATTCTTAGGACTGTAATTGGGTCCCACTCTTTGGGGATCTTCATAATTACTGATAAAGAGCTGACCTTTCCATTTCAGATTAACATCAGCAAATGCCATTACTTAGTGGATTTGGATACCATGAGAGAAACACCTCGGGAGCCAAACTATTCATCCAACAGAGAAGAATGGATCAGCCTGGCCCACAGACCGTTCCTGGATGCATCTAGGTATGTGACTTCAATTGTGACAGATGTCCTAATCAGTGGTAAAAATGAATGCTGGAGTTGAGCAAATCTAGTCCTTGGCTGTCTCGAGTAATTCTTATTTCCTTTTTATTTGGTACAGTTTTGTCCATGAGTACTGAGAAATTTAAGAGTACTCTCTTCTTGAGGCCACGGAATGCAAAGTACATTCTATTATTATCGTAATGAAAGGTCCTGAGTAGTACAGGTAGGTCGACTGTGGAAACTCAAATAAGATTTTGATTAGTTTTGGTAACTGACTTTAACTGTCTTAACTGAGCATTCAGACATTGCTAACAAGATTAACTGTGCTCTGAGGAGCTTGATGTCCATCATTTTCAGAATCAAAGCTCAGCAAGTACTAGATAGGACTTGTTTGATTTTATTGTGGTTGTTTGAAACATGGTCTCACTCTGTAGCTCAGGCTGGCCTGGAACTCGTTAGATAGACCAGTCTGGTCTTGAACTTGTGGCGATCCTCTTGCCTCAGCCTCCCACGTTAAGCAAATCTGCCTCACCATGCCTGGCAGATCTAGTGAAGGTTTTTTGTTTGTTTCGAGACAGGGTTTCTCTGTGTAGCTTTGCGCCTTTCCTGGAACTCTGTAGACCAGGCTGGCCTCAAACTCACAGAGATCCTCCTGCCTCTGCCTCTTGAGTGCTGGAATTAAAGGCGTGCGCCACCACTGCCCGGCTTCTAGAAATAGAGAAATATTTTCTTCTTAAAATAGAGATCCAGGACTTGCTTGGCTCTTCACAAAGGCCCTGGAATTAGTGGTGAGAAGAATGATGGGAAGTGTGAATTGGAGTGTGAGGATGTTTGTAAACTTACTGTTGAAGGTGAAAGAGGGAGACAGCCATAAACATAAAAGAGGAAATTGTCAGGAGTTGGAGACCAGCTTGGTCTACAGAGCAAGTTCCAGGACAACCAGGGCTGTTATACAGAGAAACCCTGTTTCGAAAACCAAAAAAAAAAAAAAAAAAAGGAGGAACTAGATTTATATCTGAAGGTTCTTTAGAGGATGATATCCAATTGAGTGTATTGGTAATCACGAAAAGGGACTGTTAGGAGCACACTGGAGACTTAGTAGCTGGTCAGTCCAAGAAGTTAGAAGCCGGGGCAGGAGAGATGGCTCAGCGGTTAAGAGCACTGACTGCTCTTCCAGAGGTCCTGAGTTCAATTCCCAGCAACCACATGGTGACTCACAGCCAACTGTAATGAGATCTGGTGTCCTCTTCTGGCCTGCAGGCATACATGCAAGTCAGAATACTATATACATAATAAATAAATAAATCTTTTTTTTTTTTTTTAAAGAAGTTAGAAGCCTCAGAACAAATTGGTTTCAGTTCATGCAGCTGTAACCTGTTACTCTAGGCTGAATGGCCAAAGCACCAGACACTGTGTTCCTCATAGGCTTGGAGGCTAGAAGGTCAAGGCCAGTGTGCTTGTGGTCAGGTTCTCATGCAGGGCCTCCTCTAGGTTCCAGATAGCTGACTTTTATCTAACATGAGGAAGAGGATGAACCAGTTGTCTGGCATCTCTGCAGGAACTAGCCCCATTCTGGAGGGCTCTACACACATGGATGAACGACCTCCTAGAGGCTCCCCTCCACGCATCATCGAACTGGGGATCAAATTAGAGCATAGGAAAAACGTTTTTTGAGATGGCTCTTACTCTGTAGCCTTGGCTGACTTCAAATTTGCAATTCTCCTGCCTCCACTTCCCTGCTGAGGGATTACAGGTGTGAGTCACCATATCTGTTTCAGCATAAATTTTGAGGGATGCACACATGTAGTATATTATATAATAGAAGTTGTAAGTAAAGCTATTACAAACGGAGTTTCTCTTATTTGAAGTACTTGGTACTAGAAGTGTGTTACATGTCAGAGTTGGGGATGTGTACAGATATCTATAATAACATATCTTAGGGATAGAACTCAGGTCTACTCACAACCTTGATGTTTCATATATACTTTACACATATACCTTGTTGGTAAGTTTCTTAAAAGATGTTTTATTTTCATTCAGGTGCATGTGTCTGCCGCTTGTATATGCATGTGGTGTGGGGGGTGGGGGGGTGGGGGGGTGCCCACAGTGACCAGAGGCCTTGGATCCTCTGGAGCTGGAGTTACAGGCAACTAGCTGTGAGCCACTTGATGTGGATGCTGGAGATCAAACCTGGGTTCTCTGGAAGAACAGCATTGCTCTTAACTTCTGAGTCATCTCTCCAGCCTTGTGGTAATTTTACATCATGATTTTGTGCAAGAAACAAGTTTTAATGGTGTGGCACTCAGAAAATTTTAAGCTTTAGACTGTTCGGGATTTCAAATGATCAGATTAGGGCTGCTCAATTTGCATAATATCCATTTACACGTTTTGGGCAGGTGAGTTTTCATCCTCCTTGGGTCAGTGTTGAACAGTATGATTGCTGAATTGTATGGTGTGAGCATGTTTAGCTTTGTAGGAAGATGCCATTCTGCATCCTACTCAGAAAGAGTGAGGATTTACCTGCTTGTGGTAGGGAGTGTAGTATGTATCTTCATATGGCTTTAGTTTACATGTCTCTAGTGATATATGGTGTGGAACGTTTTTTTTATATGCCTGTTTGTCATCTGTAAGTCTGTTCGGATGAGGTGTTTTTAAAGTCTCTGGGACCTGCCTGTCTTCCTTCCTTCCTTCCTTCCTTCCTTCCTTCCTTCCTTCCTTCCTTCCTTCCTCCCTCCCTCCCTCCCTCCCTCCCTCCCTCCCTCCCTCCTTCTTTCCTTTTTTCCAGCTCTGGGCTTTATAGTTGCTAGGCAAGTGCTCTGCCATTGAGCCAACCCTCCAGCCCCTTTGACTCTTTTTGTTTGTTTGTTTTGTTTTTCTAGACAGGGTTTCTCTGTGTATCCCTGGCTGTCCTGGAACTAACTCTGTAGCCCAGGCTGGCCTCAAATTCACAGAGATCCCCCTGCCTCTGCCTTCCAAGTGTTGGGATTAAAGATGTGTTCCACCACTGCCTGGCTCCTTTGACTCATTTTCAATTGTTTATATCCTTGTTGTGGAGTTTTAGGAATTCTTGGTGTGTTTTGGATTACAATACTTTGTCACATACATCTTTTTTTTTAAGATTTATTTATTTATTATGTATACAGCACATATGACTGCAGAAGAGGGCACCAGATCTCATTACAGATGGTTGTGAGCCACCATGTGGTTCCTGGGAATTGAACTCAGGACCTCTGGAAGAACAGTCAGTGCTCTTAACCTCTGAGTCATCTCTCCAGCCCACACATACATCTTTTTAAGTGTGTCCTTTTTGTTCTTCTTGTTCTCTTGATATCGTTTGCAAAAAGCATATGTTTCAATTTTAATAAAGTTCATCTTACAGTTATTTTTCATTGATTGTATCACAACATTATTTCTAAAAATTAGTTAGCAAACTGAAAATCTAGTTATTTTTCTGTGCTGTCTTGGAGTTTTATATTTTTCACTGTATATTTAGATCTATGATCCTTGTTAATTTTAAAGGCTATAAGATTTGTGTCTCGATTCATTTATTTTTCTATAGATATAAAATATATTTTTAAATGCCCACTTAGTAGGGCAGCCTCTCATTTCTCCATCTTATTGCTCTGCTTCCTTCTCAGAGAACTATAGTTGTCTGTGTATGCATACACCACTTCCTGGACTCTTGGATCTCTTCCACCCCTGAATTCGTTCTTTTGACCAGTCTTGATTGATACAGCTTTATAGTCAGTCTTCAAGTTGGTCATTTTTTCCAAAGAACTTTTGATATTTTGTTGGTTATGCTGGTTCTTTTGCCCACCATATAAAGTTTAGAATCAGATTTTTAGTATTTGTGAAATTCACTGGGATTTTGATTGTGATTGTGTCAAGATTAGTTGGAACAACTGGTATCTCAATAATATGGAACCATCCTGTTCATGAACATGGAATGCCTCTGTTAGCCGCTCTGTGGTGTATTTCACTGTAATTTTCTTCATATGGATCTTGTACACATGTTGTAGAAGATATACCTAAGTATATCTTTTGGGGGAGTACTAATGTAAATCGTACTAATTCTTTAAAGAGAATGTAAAATTCCGCTTGTTCATTGCTGATTTGTACAAAACTGATTGACTCTTATATGTTAATTTTTGGGTTCTGCTACTTTATTGTAATTGTTAATGAGTTCTGGGAAATTCTAAAATGCCTATCACCCCAAAATGACCTTTAAAGAAAAAAAAAAGGATGAGGGAAAGAAATGAGCCATGTGCTGATGCCAAGACTCGTGTACAGCTAAAAGCAGATGCCGCCGGAGAAAGCACCATTGCTGCAGCATTGCCGTTGAGTTCAGTGAGAGAAGAAACTCACGTCACAAAGCCTTAAGCATCCAGGTCATAGTGCATACCCATCTGCTGGAGCTGTCTGCGGAGCAGGAGTCTGTCTGTCTAATGTCACAGCCCCAGGCCACGTATGCCTTTCCAGCCAGTGTTTGTGAGGAATGGTTTGAAGCTTATGTAATCTTGAGTATAGTAGAATTCCTAGTCAGCAGATGGGTGTGAGGAGTAGATGCAGAGTGTTTCTTCTGATACCATCAGTTTTCTCAGGGAACTAGGAAGTGGGAGTTTTCATTTGATGAGAAAACAAGAGATGAGATGTTGGAAAGTTGGAAAGAGTAGGTGTGAAGTGATTGAGGACAGTAAATGACAAGAGTGGAGAAATGAGTGTGCTAAGAGGGTGGGGTCAAGCGTTCCCACTTGGAATGGGATGAGGGTAGTACCTGCTCTCTCTGTTTAAACTGTGTGCATGTGCACGTGACTCTCATCGGGTCAGAGGACAACTTGCTGTACTTGCTTCTCCCTTCTACCATGTTAGTCCTGGGGATTGGACTTGGGTTTTCAGGCTTGGTGGTAAGCACCTGTACCTGCTGAGCCATCTTGCCCATTCAATTGCCATTTTCTTCTCCAACTACGTATAGACTGTAGCCACACTAGTAAGGCAAATTT